GATTCCTTTTTTTTGGAGCACCCGCCATACTGATTTCCAAAGTGGTCTTACAAGTTCACACTCCCACCGGCAATGGAGGAATGTTCCTTCTTCTCCACATCCTCTCCAGCATGGATTGTCATTGGTATTTTTGATTTTAGCCATTCTGACAGGTGTGAGGTGGTATCTCAGAGTTGTTTGGAGTTGCATTTCTCTGATGGCCCAGGATTTTGAGCACTGTCTTAAGTGTCTTTCAGCCATTTCAGATTCCTCTGTTGAAAATTCTCTGTTAGTTCTGCACCCCACTTTTTAATTTCATTGTTTGGTGTTTTGGTGGCTAGCTTCTTGAGCTCCTTGTATATTTTGGAAATCAGTCCTCTGTCAGATGTGGGGCTGGTGAAGATCTTTCCCCATTCTGTGGGCAGTCATTTTGTCTTACTGACTGTGTGATTGCCTTGCAGAAGCTTCTCAGTTTCAGGAGGTCCCATTTATTAATTGCAGACCTCAGTATCTGTGCTACTGGCGTAATGTTCAGGAAGCGAACTCCTGTGCCAATTTGTTCAAGGGTAATTTCCATTTTCTCTTCTAGGAGATTTAGTGTGGTTGGATTTATGCTGATATCTTTGATCCATTTGCACTTAAGTTTTGTGCATGGTGACAGGTATGGATCTATCTGCAATTTTCTGCATGTCCAAATCCAATTGTACCAGCACCATTTGTTGAAGATGCTATCTTTTTTCCATTGTATAGATTTAGCACCTTTGTCAAAAATAAGGTATTGGTAGGTGCGTGGGTTAATATCAGGGTTTTTAATTCGATTCCATTGGTCTTTCTATTTTTGTGCCAATACCAAGCTGTTTTCAGAACTATGGCTCTATAGTAGTGCTTGAAGTTGGGGATGGTGATGCCTCTAGAAGATCCTTTATTGTAAAGAGTTGTTTTGGCTTTCCTGGGTTTTTTTATTTTTCCATATAAAGTTGAGTATTGTTCTTTCAATGTCTGTGAAAAACTGTGTTGGATTTTGATGGGGATTGCATTGAATCT